GATAATAGAGAAAAGTGTAGTTTGTTGTATGTCACAGGGTGAGAAATTTAGAGTTTTGGGATTCTAGTATGGAAGTAGATAGGAGGCAAGATGGAGGATTTTGAGGGTTGTCTTGAGCTTCTTCTTCTTCATCTACTCCATTTTCTGCAGTGTTGGTGGCACAGGGTGATTGAGTGAGCAGAGTCACAGGGCAGAGGTTACGTGGAAAGACAAAGGTAGAAATAAAGTACGCTTTAAGAGTTAATTGGATAAAACAACTTTAAAAGACCTTGAAACTGCACATCTTGGGGCCATTTTTGCTGTACTTTCTTGCGCGCTAAGTCTGCTGCAGACAGCATGCCAAGATTCTGATAAGATACCAATAACAGCAACTGTTTATTGAAAGAAGTCCCGTGCATCTCTCAATCCTGGCAAAGAACTGCTAAAAGGAGGTTTTCCCCCATCAGGGGTGCCTCTGGGGCCCAATGATGAGATGGGCACTGGCCATTTAAATTGCGTTTAAAATTCCTGACAGGCAGAGGATATTCTGAACTTTAATGATTTTAGTTCCATGCATGCTCCAGCCATCACCAGACAATAAATGCACACCCACACCGCAGCTTGCAAAGAATTTCCAAAGATATTTTCAGATGAGCTGACTTGGATACCAGAAGCACTTTAAGTAGCATAAGCTCATGTGGGCTAATTTACTCTTTTCCTTGCTTCAGCAAGGAAAATTAGGCTATAAGGAGGTCCAGACTGTAAGTTCCTGGTACCCAAGGTACCTCATGTATAATACCCCCTACATTATTTCTCCTATCCTGCAGTCTGTAGCATAGCCATGGCTGGAGGAAACTAGTCAGTCCCTCCATGAGACAAAAACCTAAAAATGGTTCCGTGTCAATGGCTTCATGTGAATGAACATGCATTACCCCACCCTTCTCATATAATTTCCTTGAGGACCCTAGTAAGGTCTGCAGAATAACACATCTATAACATTAGAAACAAAAACTTCAAGTACTGAAACCAGTTTTCTGAAAGAGGAGTTGAATACAGACAAGCCTACTCTTTTTCTACTTCCTTCTGAAGACATAATTTAAAGGAAAAAGAGGACAGAGGGAACTACCTGATCTGTATGCAACACCTAGAAGAGGTGGCATTACTTGCTTCCATAATTACTTCTCAAGTCTTTGATAGTTCATTCTTACCAAAGTGAAGAACAACTTTCATTCTTCTTAAAAGTAAAACATAAAACTATCAGCAAAATGTGATATACATCCACAGATTTAAAAGCAATTACACAAGCAAAAGGAGAAAAAAATCCCCATAAATTAACCGTACCTTTAGATAAACTCATGACTCAAACAGTGAATGTGTTTTTATTGTCCCTATGATATTTCAGACCTTAACTTAGTTTAAAACAAATTACTCAGCAAACATTTTGGAAGGATGTTAGAAATTCCAAGTTATTTCTTCATTGTCTTTTCTTTTTTATGCAAGCATGTCAACGTCAATTGATAATTTTCTCAATGGAAACAAACACTTCGTACAAATAACTGCTTAGCATTCCTGAAAAAAAATCTGAAACAACTGAAAATTTCCTAAAACCTCAGAAATGGCCAGAATGATATACACTCAGGACAGTGAGACAATATGCATCTGAAACAGCTTGTTCAAAAAGACTGTTAGTACTGTATAAGTCAATAAAAAACAGTTCCATGTTTCTATTTTCAATTAATCCAGCAGGAATACTGCTATAGTCCTATTCATTTTCTTCACCTAGTCCATACGCAGTCATCCGTTTATGATTTACAGCACAGGTGATGGTAATGCATGTGTGTTTATTATAAAGCCATGCTTTTTAACTACTAAATGGAATTTAAGAATGCCTGCCTCTTGTAATACTCTTTACATCCATAAGAAGTCCAGCCCCAAAGCACCTGTAATGCAGAGCTGAATCCATCTTGAGCATGGTGTTTTAAAGCCAGCCTGCAGTCAAGGATTACACCCATGCTGTATGTCATACTGACTCCATAAAGCATCTCTTTTCCAAATGCCATCAAGTATGGCATTTCTCACAGATTTTCTTTCCTTTCTCTGAAATATCCTGCCGGATGGTCTGAGGCCACCAAACTAAAATAGTAAATAGAAAACAAAATCCTATCAGTTTCTTAGTACAGTTTATGAATTACAAGATGCTATGCTAAAGAATAAGAAAAAAAAAAAAAAATATCATAGTAGCAGCTCCCAAGACTGAGGAAAACAGTTCTGACAGCATGCAACTTTTAAAGCTGAAGAGCACAATCTAAAATAATACAGGTGAAGAATGTTCCCATAGCATACACCTGAAAAAATCTATTAAAACAGAAGTATATCCAAGTATAATGGGGCAACTATATGCTTTTAGGACATGGTTCTAAAATTATATTTTCTGTCCTATATAATTTTCAAAACAAACAAATAAAATTATTTCTATTTATACAATAGCTACTCCAGAATAGGACCAGATGCTCTGACTATATCTTCTAGATTAGGCACATGGCCATCCACAACCTGAAAAAGGTTATCTGGTGTAATACTTCATGTAAACTTAGCATTCGTTGGCTTCACTTGAAATCTCCAATGCTGGTTGAACGATAGTACAGATTATAATAAATAATCTAGGGACAAAACTAAACTATGTGAAGTAGAGAACCCCACTAAGCAATTTCTCCAGCAAATGTCAGAGTTATTAGACTCTATGTAACTTAGATAAAGGAGTATAATACATGCAGGTTAATAATTTCTAATGGGACTGATACTAAGATATTTTTTGTCTCAGATTATCAAAATTTCCAATTCTTTATGTGAAAGTCCATCTGTGTACTTCCAGAAGCACCATGAACCAAGGTCTAAGACAGAAAAATGAAACTTTCACACTGAGTAATATCTATATAGAGCTATATATATACAGATGAAAGTTGCCAGCATCAATAACAGGAACTAAAAATAGTTTGACTTTCACATGAAACAGAACTTGTTTAAACAGTCTTCATATTTGCAAGCAGGCAATGAAGAAAGCTGAGAGATTAGTTTTGCCCCTAAATATACAAGATTGAATAATGAATGGATCCTTGAAGAATTACTGTCTACTTTTCAATATTAGCAGAGATCTCCATTTCTTATAGTGAAAAAATATGTATATTGCAAGATTAGTAATCACGAATTTTTCAGGCCTATGATATACTAATAGTTGTAAATGCAGATTATTTGGCTGTCCTGAATAGATGAATGAAAACTTACACAATGGCTCCAACTGGTGACCAGTTTAAAATACTAAAAAGAAAATCAGTGAGTATTTACCATTAAGCTGAAGATCAAAAGATTACTGACAATAATAGATCAGTAAAATTTAAAAACAGTAGATACTGCATGAATAAAACAGCTGTAATTTAAAACAAAAAACTTCATAGGGCTATTGTGCTGTAGGTTTGAATGAGCCAGTCTATACACAGGGAGATGTTTCCTTTCAATGGCATAAAAAACCACATCATAGTGGCTCTCATGAATGTAGGCTCTTTGCCATGGGGTTCAGAAGCCATATCCTTTTGACAGTTGAAAAAATTATTCCCATTACATGTTCTTGCATCCCTCAAGCTATATAACTTCTATATAACAACATTCCCAATACAGCCACTGTCTTCCTCCTACTCTCATCTTCAATACTGCAATCTGCTTATTCTTCTGGTATCTTTCCCACCTCTGCTGCCCTGACTGCCTTCTAATATTGAATGCTCTTTTCTGGTATCTGCATCTCTTGTCTCTTTATGTCTTCCACTTCTTTCTTTCACAAGAAGTGCCTCTAATTTAGAACTTTATTACTTTCAGTATGATTCCTCTTATTTGTCTTAGTCACAGCACTGAATGCTGACCACTGCTTCCAAAGCCACCAAACCTTGCCTATTTTCTTTTGTGTTTTCTACCCATTTTCCCTTTTACTACACCATCCTGAATGTCATCATCTTTGAATTTAGGTTAAAAATGTTTCTATCCCCTGTAAAAAAATTTCATTTTCAAGGGACCATCCACCCTTATTAGCTCAGTATCCTCTAAATGATACTTGTTATTTCACTGTTTTTAATCCAAACTGCAACCAATTTCTGACATATAATTTATACAATCACAAAAAAATCTTTATTTTCCATGCCCACAATCAAACAAAGCACAAATTTTAGTACATAACTCAATGTAAGAGGATTCTTATGGAGCGATATGTTCCATGGACTAGTTTTTTGCAGACAGTGATGAACTTTTTTCACTCCAATGGCCCCCTCCAAATTAGTGTGTTGCTGGTTCTCCTAACCTTCAGGAAGTGTCTTTACTTCTCCACTCTCTCTCAGCTTTGAGTCCAAAAACCTATGTCTCCTTCCACCCAGCTACTTTTCTTTGACCATAATTCATGTGCTATGAAGATGCACCTACAGATAACAATGGCATGAGTAGTGCATTAACCCCTTGGCTAATCCCTTTTTTGCCACGTGCACAAGAAGGTCACAATTAAGCCCTTTTAATGTGTTTTCAAAAGCACTTAAAAACTCAATTATTTGTATAGCATTTTATGCATTACACTGTAAGTCTATTTGTGTCTGTTAAGTGCCATGTTACTCTGTAAATGAGCAGTAAGATAGAAATAGGAACAGCAAAAGAAATCAAACCTCAGGTGATTACAAGTGAGAAGAGGAAAGCAATGTTATAGAGCATAAACATTCACAAAAATCTATTTTTATGGATACTGTACATAGGGAGTTTTGGAGGGTTGCTAAGAATTTGGTTTAGCTGGGACCAAACACATTTGGTCTTGACTGCCGCTGCGTTCATGATCAAAATGGGAATAACTTCATACTGGAATGATGTTGCTGTCTGATCAGAACTGTGACATGCTGTGTGATATGCCAAGGAAGAGCTGACAACAAGGATGCTGTGATATTGGGAGACATGGTTTGCAATCTTGCATGCAGATTGGAAAAATATAATTTTGTGACCTGATGATATGACTGGATTCGTAGACCTGAATTAGCAATTGATTGATGGAGCAGTCTGTTTAGTGGCCTGTAAGAGAAGAAATAACCTTTGTTTTGGTTTTAAGCAGAACAACAGATTTGATTTGAAATCAAAAAGCCAGTCTGTAACAGCAGCTACAGTACACTGGATTTAAACCTTTTTGGGCAAATCCACACAACTTCACTCAAAAAATGGCACCCAACTTCAGCAACACTAGCTCTGCTACACATGAAGACAGAAAGCTTTGTACAACTGAGATAAGCAGCATTAAATCCCTAGAAGTGGTGCAAAGGCAAGGGACATCTTATGGGAGGCAGTGGGAAAGCAAACAGTCATCTCACAGAACTGATACACCAAGCAGAACTAAAAATAATCAAATAGGAGGAGAAAGGAAGTTTCTAAAAGGAAGAAGGGCTCATTCTGGAAGTTAAAAACAGTATGCTGAACTGTGGTAAGTTAGTTACAAAACCCAGGGAGACAGTCTGGAACGGAGTTTGAGTAACAACCCATGCTATCATCAAAAGCTTACAATAGAATAGTAAGTTTTCAAACATATCAGGAGGAGGTTTTCTGCTTGAATGTTCGCATGGCTAGAAGAATATTAGTGTGCCAGTGTCACAGGTTTTTTGCTGGTTTTGTTTTTCATGGTGGTGGTAGTTTTTTGTTTCTGAATAAGATGTGGAAAACTTGAGCAAGTTCCTACACTTGCGGTTTTCTTAATAAATGGATCAGTAGAAAATCTATCTCAAAGTAAATGTCTGTTAAAAAATTGTGTGAGAAATAGAGAGTAGTAAAATTCCAGTACCAAACAATACCTGCTTCAAAACTGAACTGATTACTGAACCACTAATTGTATTGTGCAACCTACTATTTAAAGCCTACTTAATTAAGGAGTAGAGAGCAGTAAATGTGCCACTCATCTCTGAAATGCATTCCAGGGAGCACCTGCAAACAGGTCAAGACTACATCAGACCAGTTAGTAGATACTATAATAAAGATTAGAACATTTATCCATCAATACAGATGGATAAATTGTTTATACCAGATAAGAGTCAGCCCATCCCTGGTAAATGGAAATAGTTTATGAAAAATTTACCAATTATAATGTTTGTAAAGGAGATCTGCTCAATATAGTGTACTCCATTTTTCAAAGTTTCTGACATCGTCTTTCACCAAAGCCTTGCAAAGAAACCAATCATGGTGGAAGAGAAGGAGTTGCAACACAGATAAATCTGGCTGAAGTGCAGGAGTCAGTTTGCATTGTGCGTGCCACAGAAATTCCACAAGGAGACAAGTGTTTAATTTATTCATAGTTGCTGAGGAGTGTGTGAGTCAAATGTGAAATGAGGAAGTTTGCTGATGTTTCAACAAGTAATAAAGTCAAGAACTGATACTGCAAACATCAAGAAGGCTCTTATGATTGAACTCCTGGGCATTAAGGTGGTCAGTGAAACTCAACAGAAATGAAGTTATATATGCATAGGAATCTCAATTCTTACTGTAATTCTTACTGTACTTGTGAAGTGATGGGCTCTGAGTACATTATTATCCGTTATGCATGAAATCTTGAGGCCTTAAATAGGTCTGGGAAAATGTATGTTAAATGAGGACTAAAAATGGAAGAAAAACTAAACAAATTCAAACCCAAATTAAAATTTAAAAAAAGAGCGTTGGGTTTAAGCATTTGTATTAAGAAGGAAAATAAGAGAAATATACTAAGGAATGGATATAAATTCATGGCTTGCTCATGTGTTGGAAACCATACACATTTGTCATTTCATCCCTCTGTCTTGTGGAAAAAAAAAGATTGAACTAGGTGCAAAAGTAGATGGGATTAGCTAAGGCTGGAAAAGACATATCAGAGCAGGACATAAAAGAAGTCCACAAAATTTAGAGTAGTGTGGAATTAGAGAGAAGGAATCTACTTTTCAACCATCTCTTCCAACTTATGAGTTGGTGGGCCTTAAGCACAGAGAAGAGCATCACAACAAAACAAAAAAAAAAGCTTCAGGCAAAGTGCAGTAAAGTTATCCATTGCTGAAGACTCTAAAAGTTTATGTGGACTCATGTCGAGAATGGACAAGTTCATGGAAGAGGAATCCTTAATTAACTAGTAAATATATGGATGCTTCCTCTGTTTATAGGAGGCTGTGAGCCAAAAGTTATAATAAACTGAATCAAAGAACATTCTGAGTTGGAATGGACCCACGAAGTTCATTAAATCCAACTCTTAAGTGAAAGGCCTGTAGAGGGATCAAACCCACTGCCACGGCACTATTAGCACCATGCTCTGACCAACTGAACTAATCTCAGTGTTTGAGTGAATATCCAGGGATATTTTGATATGTCTCAACTGGCTTTTGAATGCTTGCTACACCAGAACATTCTTTACTGTGGTAATCAAAGACAAAGTTGAATAAACAGACATAGTTTTTAAAAAGTCTCTTCATTCAGTAAACTACAAATGAGACAGTACAGGTTCTCACATTTCACAGTAGTAATGTATCACTTAAGTTTATTATGCAATATGAAAGATGGCATCTACAAATGTGCTCTTTATTTTAATACATGGAGAGTTACTAGTACCATCTAATGTGTCTGCGTAAGTAATCTAGTTTTGATTGAGTCAGAATACTTAAAATTAGTGCTACCCACATACAGGAGCAGTAGTGTTTCCAGACAGATCTAAATTAAATGCATAAAGAAAAAAATCCATAAATAGTCCCTCTAGTGTTACTTCTACTTACCTAGTATTTGCCATATTTTATTGCTTTCCACATATATATCTACTCAATTATTAATAAAAAAATTATTAGGATGAAGTAGAGGCATTTTTCATGCCTTTTGTTGACATCTCCATCACAGATCTATCTCAAAGCTAAACAGATTCTGACAATGGCAATTTATGAGAGAAATAAATTGCCGTTCTGTAATTTTTTGCTTTAGAACATATTGTTTCATAAGCTAACTTAAAACATCAGCTTTAACAAAATCTTCACTTCAAAAATACACATGAAACTCTACCTCTTACATGGTCTTTTCTTTTTCAATAATTTCACAAATAGAAGAGTCTGTAAATCCTTCATGTTGTTCTGAGGCATATCAATGGCATCACCTACATGGCAGGTATCACATAAAATTACACAAATTATGCTCTACTTGGCATCTGCCAGGATTTCAGTTTAAAACAAAGTGCAGCTTCTCCCACACAGCATCCTGATTAAACAAATAAACTATGGCGCTGACTGCAAATGTACACACCAGAGTGTAAAAAATGAACAGATAGAATAGCCAAATCTGTATTTAATTTTAATTAAATTTCATTCTGTAGCTCAATTAATCCACAACTCCAAATGTCATCAGGGCTTAGGCAAATGGAATGACATCTGCTAGACTGCATCCTGACTGTAAAACCTTCACGGCATGCTACAGCTCTGGAAAAGTACCAGAAGAAAAAGAAAAAAGAAATGCTCTCAATAAATATATATCAATGTGCGAAAGTGTAATCTCAACAGAACACAGGAAAGGTACTTGACAGAAAACCTGAGAAAATTTCTTTATTTTACAACTCTGGCTAATAATAGTGCTTAACTAAAACTGAATACAAGGTTGTCCATTAGTAATAACATATTTACGATGGAATTGTGTTGTTTTTTAAAAAGTAATCTACTAAGAGACACCTTGTAGCATCCTTTGTAACTAAAAGAAACTTTGTAACTAAAAGAAATACTGTAAATATTCTGTGTTATTTCTAATATAGCTGTGTATCTGCATAGAAGTATTATCCAGAAGTTTCTGCTCCTGTTTGAGAGCTACAGGAAGACATTTTTGTCACAGAGAAACTGATGCACATTTTTAACAGCATTAAAGTACTTCAATGGTAATCAACATCTAAATATGCTTACAGTGCTAGCCACATAACAGGTGGATTAGAAGAGAAGTTGGGGAATTTGAGGGAGGCAAAAAAAAGACACTAACAGTGAAAACAACTTCACAGATTTTCTGAGTCACACTGCCATACTGGTATCTTAGTCCTTTATTTATTTTAATTTCTTTTTTTCATTCTAAAAGATTTACCCCATTCTAGCCATAATTTTGGACTGACTTTCAAGACAAATAACAGATAAAAACAAGTAGGGTAAGGGATGAGGCCTGTATACTTCTGGGATTAGGGAGAGGTTGCTGTAATAATGGTTGTAAGGTAAACAATTGATTTTTTTATATTACTACCCAATTCAATGGACCTTATTTAATATACACAACCAAGGCAAAAAAGCAAAAATCAAAGGAAAAGCCTGTATGCATTTCACAGTACTTTATGAATAAAAATGTATTAAGCTGTCTCAATTTTCCAAATACTGACCATGGTTTTGATCAAAAAAATATAAAATAATGCTGAACTGCAGGATAATGGATGCTCTGTCATAAGATCCGATTTGCAAATACTTAAATGAGTCATATAATGTGTTTACAGGACACAGCCTGTCATTTATTTTTCACTTTACTGATCTCTGTAATTATTTACTCCCCCTATTGATAACTAAGACATTAAGCATGTGAAAAAGTGAAATAGAAGCTTCCATGGTTTTTCAAATTATCATTGCAAGAACTTCCAGCACTATTAACTGTGGTTTGTGCAGCTCTTGTGTATTTCTGATGGTTGTAAAATTATCAAGTGAAGCAAGGAATATATAAAATTATGTACTGAAAATTGAACTCCATTCTTCAAACACCTAGTTTTTATTCAGGTGGGTAGATTATATGGCTTTAATAAAAGTGCTTACCTATAATGAGAATAAAAATTTTTAAAAAACCCCAGAAGATGCAGACAGTTTTGAGGACTACATTCCTGTCAAATAATCCAATTATTTCTAATCCTTTCACCCTTTAGCCCATAAATTTTGAGCTTCTTTTATATCAAATGCATTCAAGAGATATATTTAAATTTTAATCACTGAACTAAACAACTCTAAATATGATTATATTCAATTTTTATTATCATCATTATATAATTAACTAAAGTACTGTATAAAAGCACATACTTTTAT